GAATGGACGAGAGAAGCATCATCAGAACCTAGCAGCCAATTAACTGGAGGGAGGAAAAGATTGGGAGTCCAAAGCAATGCCCAGTGTTCTGGCTTGGATGACAGACTGGATGAGGGAGCATTTGCTAAGAGGAGGACCCAAAAAAGGGAGCAGGTAAGGCTGGCGCGCAGTAGGTGTTCAGTTTAATTTTGGACACGGTGAATTTGAAGTGCCTGTAAAACCTCAAGTGGGGCCACGCAGGACCAACCTGACAAATAAGTCCATCACTCTGGACATCAGCCTCTGCTCAAGGTCCTCACTGGGCAGTGAGTGTGTAAAGCTGAGCCACTGGCTGTGTGTGAAATGGAAAGACACACAGTGTGTGTGACACACAGTGGGGTGTGTGTTACACCTAACTCCCAGTATAAACTCCTTGAGACTAGAAACCACGTCATTTCTTTCCTTTTATTTTCTAAAGGTGCCTAAGACAGACCTGGCCCTCCTACTTTATAAGGTGGCAGTGAGGATTGAATAGCATAAGGAATATGAAAAGCTGCTTCAAAATTGAAAAGCATGTTCCAAGATTAATTGTTGTTATGACTACCATCCACCAGCCCAGAAAAGCCCAGACCTCCTTCCTGCTGACGACAGAATAAAAGTCGTCCACATCCTCAGGCCTCAGCTCCAAATCTATCCTGGCAGCCTCGCCTCCCACGCCTCACCTTGCCCAAACCAACCTGGCGCCTCCAAGCTCCGTGCCTTTGCTCCTCCCTTCCTCCCAGGGCAATCAGACACCCCCCTACTCCACACACACACAGGGTCACCCTGGCACCTTGCACAGATCTGTGCAGACATGGGTCACGATCGGTTATAAGCCCTGTTGTCAAGTCTGTGACTGGACTGGAAACTCCACAGAGGCAAGTGCTTGCTTTCATTCACAAAGCAGGGTATGCATTCAGTAAACGTCCGCAGGAGGGACTAAATCTCCGTACGCCCCAAAGCCAGTACCTTCTATGGCAACAGAAAAGAGAGATGACTGATGAAAGGAATCCAAGGTTTCTGGAATATTTTCCTTGCCACCTGTTCCTAATGAAATCTTGACAGTCTTGCAATATCCACCCTGAATACCACCTCCTCCCAGCTGGAAGTCATCTCTCCAATTCCTGGGATCTCACAGTGCTTTGCACCTGGCCCGTCACACTTACCTCTCAGTTCCATTACATTTGAGTCTTTTGTGTACTTGGTGCCATTAGACTGAACAGCCCCTGGCACATAGTAGGTGGTAGATAAACGCATCTCACCTTGAATAGCTGCATTCAAAAACACCTGATGTACTGGGAAAACCAACTCAGAACTTCTGGTATGGCCCTTTAAGGAGCACTTGGACCAACCCATCAGCAGCCTGGCCCTCTCCTCCCCTCTCATGGGGGGCTTCCCTGGCCCCCAGATCACCCTGGGGTAGCAGCCTACTCCCAACTCAGATCTCCTTTGACATTGTCCCTGCTTTACTTCTTCCCCATCTGTTCCTGGGTCTCTGATTCACTTGCCAGCTGAACACCATCTCAGGAGCACACCAGCCGGTTTCCTCAGAGCACCGTGTCTTCGGGCCAGCCGAGGCCTTGGGCAGCAGGGGATGGTGCCGGACATGCTGGGTGCCAGCTGCATTCCTGTGATTCATGAACAGTTGGGCATTAAAGTTCTCTCCCCCCAGGAAAGGTCACTTTCCCTAATGCCCTTCTTTCTTGGTCCAGCAATGACACATTATTTTTGCTTCCTCCTGGCTCGATCATTTTTCAACTACAGCTTGTCCCTGCAGTTCTAGTGGAGGGCTAATGCAGGTCTCTTCTTGCTCATGGGTCCACATTTATGAAACCCTAATTAGGCATTTCCTTTAGCTGTCTTTATAGATTACTTGGTGCGAGGAGTCTGCAGGCATAAACCTAGTCTGAGCTAAAAGCTTGTTTGGATGCCCAATTAGGAGCTAACGGGGGAAGTTCCTAGTTATTCCTACCTCTGAGTCTTAGCTCAGGGAGCTCCCCATTCCCAGAAGGCCCTCCCTTTTGACCCTGGAGGATATAAATCCTGCCATCTTTTGTGACCTGCATTAAATTGAGATAAAATGTATTCGCTTTCAATTTGCCATGATTTTGTAATTTTTTAGTGCTCAGTGTGGTAAAGGTACAATGCATCAGCACTCTCACACTCTGGGCAGGTGTATAAATTGGCAAAACCCTCCGCAGGAAAAAAAAAAATTAACGTGGCAAATGTCTTCCAAATACCTCCAACCTTTGACCCAGTAATTCCATTTCCAACGATCTTTGCAGTGAATATAATCAGAAATGTGGACAAGTATTTATGCACAAAGAAATTCATTGCGGCATCATTTATAATTGCAGGAATATATTAATATCTGATAATCAGGGAACATTTAAGTATACTATAATATATCTATATTATACAGCCATCTGGTGAAGGCATTTTAATGCTGATGCTAAGTGAAACCAGCAAACTTTCAAATTGTATATACAGTGTGATCCAAATAGACCTTTCCCAGCTATTGTTGCACAGGATGTTTATAAAGAATGCTACAAATAGAAAAGATCCATTTTCCAGCAAGGTTGAAAAGTTATTATAGGCATATGCCTCAAGGCTGCTGGGAGTCTTGGATATGCTAATGAAATGGGAAATGCAAAAAAAAAATGAGGCTCGATGTACAAAGTCACACTTGTTTTTATGCAAGCCATCTCAGGGGCTGTGCTGTTCATGGAGCTTGCAGGGGCGGGTGGGAGGGGGGAGGGCATCCCTAGGAAAGGTTGTAATATTGAGAGGGGTTGCTGCTGCTGTTGAGTTATGGAATTATCTTACTTCTTTCTTGGAATTTTTTTGTATTGTTCTACAAAAATGTTATGTGTTATGAAAGAAAGCTAGCCAGAGGACCATCTTCCATCCAGCTTTGGCAGACTTGGAGTGCTGAAGAGGCAGCGGGCACATGGATTCAACATGGTGGCCATGCCCCAGAAAATGGGCCCTGGGAGGGTGGTGATGGCAGCCAGGGCAGGGGAGCCCCCAATGGCTGCCTGGCTGACTCTTATGCTCTGCCTGCATTTCAAAGGGCAAGGGGCGTGGTCAGGACCATGGCACTGCCACCTGCTCCCTCTGAACCCTGAGCCTGACCAGAGGTTTCCTGATGCATCAGAGAACATCCCCAGGATGTGAACTGTATTCCAGGTTCTGGAATATGCTGCCTGGCTATTTTTTATTACAAACCTCAAGTCCAAGGTGCATTGAGCCTTCTTGGATTGGATGCTTCCTTATTCAAATACTCTCCCTAGTTTCTCACTCTTCCCTCACCCCTAGGCTCTGTCTCCAGGTCTTCCCTTGCGCCCCACCTACAGCCCTGGGTCAGCCCCACCCCAGTAACAGGCACAGCCTGAGAGCCCTGTACCCAACCCAATATCTAGTCTTAGGCATTGAGCAGGAAGGAAATGTAAACTGGGTTAGGACCTCTAGTCGTAACAGGCACTGAGCTGTACACTCAGTGAAATGTAACAGGACTTTGGAGACATCTGCCTGGACCCTTCCTGCTTATCTTCCATGGGCCCCTAAAATATTCATTAGAATTTATCAGGCTAATGGGCTTCAAAAGGAGCAATTTTCTGAGACATGAGACAGGGCAATATAAAAGGAACATTAAGGAAAAAAAATTCTTATTTCAAAATGAAAGGGAAAAGATCATTTAGCATCCCTGTTGGTGTTATCTATTCATGAGAAACAGCACATTTAATCCACTGTGGGGTGTAGGGAGGGCTTTGATGCCCTCACCTTGGGGTCACCTTCACGCAGAACTCATCTGTCTCTGCTGCCACAGATGGCCAGGACGATGGATACAAGAGGATGCAGATGAGAGACATTTCAGAGGTGGACTCCACAGAGTGCAGAGGGATCAGAGGGAACAGGGGTATGGAGGAGAGAGTCTAATGTGACCCCCAAGGCACTCACTTAGGAGATTGGAGGTAGGGGGCACCACCCGCCTTTCCTCCTTTTATGCTTCCCATCTCCCTTCCCAAGACATCCCAGTCTTGATTTCTTTTTGGATTATGCCATGGGAGTTCAGTCTCTTGAGGTCAGGAATTGTGACTGTATCCTAGCCCCCAATGTCCAAAGCCATCCACTAAGGTTAGGTTTTTGGTTCCCAGCCCTAAGACCACAAGTCTCAGGTGTAAAAGGTCATGAGGGGCCATGTGTAAGAGTGTTCTGCACCATGTCCACACTAGGAGTACCCCTCTGTGGTCCTCTGCCTCCCCAGGTACTCCAAGGCTGCATGAAGCTTTGTCCCCTTGGAAAGACTCTCTCTCTCAGAATTTATTTTGCTTGAGTTGAAAGGGGCACAAGATTACAACAGGTGCACGGGCAAGCCTTAACACAGAAACAAATGAATTGGGGGGTTCCTATTCTGCATCTTGTTCCTCCTCCCATATTCATTGCCTTCCCTCTTACTCCTTTCTACCTTCTAATTCTCTCCTCTTCCATTTTCTTCTTTCTTTTTCCCTTCCTCTCACCTTCTCTATCTTCATCTTCATTTCTACTTTCAACCTAGTACCTTTCTTTGTATAGCTCCACCTATCTTCAAACTTAGAAAAATAATTTGAATTTAACTTTTTCTCTATGAAAGAACTGTGTGTGAATTGCAAGAAAATGTTCATGCAAAGCAAATTTAAGCTGACACCCCCACCTGCCCACTAAGAAATTGCCAGCCTAGACAGCTGGGAATTATGTGACCAAGATAATCTGCCCACAGTCAAATGTTTGCCTGGTGACATTCCTCTACCCCATGGTTTGCCCCATCCTGTTTGATGTGAGCTTCTGTAACCTCATATCAATCATTATGTTCATTGAGTTCTTTGCAGTACAAATTGTTGACCCTGAAATGTGTTCTCTTTCTTTCATAATTAGAATAAAATCCTGTTTGATGATTCATTGCATATTCAATTGTAAGCGTTGCTTCTCTTTCTTTTCACTAGATTTGTGACAAAGAGTGGCATTACTATGTCATCAATGTGGAGTTTCCTGTGGTTACCTTATACATGGATGGAGCAACGTATGAACCATACCTGGTGACCAACGATTGGCCCATTCATCCATCTCACATAGCCATGCAACTGACTGTCGGCGCATGTTGGCAAGGTAACTCTAGGTCAATCCCTTCTTATTGGCCCACCTGTGTACAGTCCACGAAATGTACTGATAGAGAAAAGGGAAAAGCAAGTGGTGCGGGAAAATTTAGCCAAGAAAATTTGCTATCCCTGATTAATAAAACAAGACTTACAAAAATAAGGATTAATCCAGACACTAAGTATTTGTTATAATAAAGCACTTGGCTTGAAACCAGATTTTGATTTTAGATCAACATGAGCATTTTCACGGTTGCCTCTGCGATGCTAATACCTTTTATTGTTCCGAAACATTATCTGGTTTCAAACTGGGGCTATGAATAAGAAAAGGCCAAATATGGAATCCTGTATCAAAATGGGCAGTTGGCTCTGTTTAAGCACCATGTTAGTCAGGAGCCAAAGATCTTATTTATCCCCATATAAGGTGTCCAACCACCCAACCCCCTGTTCTGGGAATTCATAAATATGCAGGGTTGTCAGAGGCCACTCTCAAGTTCAGTTCAAGTCTAAGCCCCATCCCTGCTCACTGAGGACAGAAGCTCCTTGTTACCTTCCCACTCGAAGCTCTTTGCTTTCTCTTCACTTCGTCTACTGCTGCCTCTCCTCCAGTCCCCAAACCCAGGCTAATCTCTTGTTTGGAGTCAGGAAAACCAGCTCTCCATGGAGCAGGCATGTAACCTTTCTGTCTCTTACTCAGATCAATTGGACTCTATTTTTGCTCCCTTAAGGGCTATGGTGCATTGAAGTACCAATGAGAGAGCAGAAGGGAAGGAAAATATTCTTTAAATAAGCATATTACTTCTTTGAGATGATGACCCAACCTCATGTTGATGGATTCTATAAAAATTACCAAGATTTGTGACTTTGACCATTCACCATGGGGGCCTGAAGGGAGAGGCAGACTATAGTATAAGGATAGGTCTTCAGAGGACCAGCCAACCAAAGAGTGAACTAGAGGAGACGTAGGCCCCTTTGAGCTGGGACAAAGAGTGAGTTCTGGACAGCTCCATGCAAGAGAAGATGGAAATAAGTACACATAGTGCAGCCCTGGGGGCAGTAGAAATACAAAACTCAGGAAGGAAATAAAGCATGAATGATGCAAGGGAAGAAAATGTGTTTTTGAGCTGAGGTCATCTACTTGATGTCTGACATATGTCACATGATAGTAAAAAATTCATTAAACATTTCAACAGAACTTGATGAGAGTTTAATCAGTGTGGCAGAATTCCCTAGGATATCAGGAAAGGGAAATTGTGTCATCTGACAAGAGTCCATGAAACTAATTAGTATAGCAAGGTACTAATTCAGTGTTCACAGAAATCGTTAGTCACTGAACACAGCTGTGCTAGTGATGGCCTCAGGTGTGGCTCATGCCCCAGCCGGTACCACACCAGCCTGTGGGTATTTTGGAACGTGGCCTGGATGCTGCCCATAAGATAAGAGGGCTCTACTCACGTCCTCACGATGAGCCTTACCAGGACTCTTCCTCAGAGGCCCTCAGAGACCACATTGGATTTCTGCCACCCCAGCCTGCAATGGAAATCTGCCCTCAACTCTACAAGGCCAGTTGCAACCAGTACTGCCCAGGTATATGCCCACCGGGTAGGGAAACAATCCCACCAAAATAAAAAGTGAGTTTTATCAAGTATTAAGATGATTTCTCTGAATCAATTAAAGTAGACTAAGGTGCACTACAGTGACAAACAAGCCCCAATTCTCAGTTTTTACTGCAGATCAACGGGGGCCCTTCTCCGCTTTTCCTTCAGTCTGGGTCCCAAGCAGAATGAAGAGCCATGTTGCTGGATACTGAGAAAGACGAGAAAGAAAACATGATGAGTGGTGCACAAGCTCTTAAAGCTTTCACCTACCAGTGACGCCAATCATTGTCACTCATATTTTATTGGCCAAAGCTAGTCATGTGACCACACTTAACTCCAACAGGTCAGGGAAGTAAAATCTATGATACGTCTGGAAGAAAAACTGAAAATATTTGATGAACAACACTGATGAACACCACTGGCATCTACGTAGTCAACAGACATTTGCTTGACTGTCCTTTCCACATAAAAAAATACAACCACCCTTCTCTAAATGACACAACCCAAAAGTCCCGCCTGTTACTGGCTTCAAGCTCAAGGTCCAGGCTCTCTGAGTGATTCCTGGTGATTTCTTCTTTTTTTTAAGGTTTTATTGGGGAATTGGGGAGGGGAACAGTGTTGGGGAATTGGGGGAGGGGAACCGTGTTGGGGAATTGGGGAAGGGGAACAGCCAAGCTATTGTCCTTCAATCTTAGTTGTGGAGGGCGCAGCTAACTCAGCTTCAAGTCCAGTCGCACCGCTCAGCTCAAGGTACTGTATTCAATTAGTTGTAGGTAGGCGTAGCCCACCATTCAAACGGGAAGCCTTGTTGTTAGGAGCATGTGCTCTCACCAGCTGAGCCATCCTGCCACCAGCTGAGCAGCAGCAACTCAGCTCCTGGCACAGTGTCACTGGCCCATGTGGAAATCGAACCAGTGACCCTGTTGCTCAGAGCTCACGCTCTTGGGCAAGCTCTTAACCACCTGAGCCACTCGGCCAGCCCTCTTGGTGATTTCTTCATCAGGGTGAGATGCATAGAAGCCTCTATACCAGGCACAGATGTGGCCCCAGTTGATCTGGATATACACTAATAGGAAGAATTATTTGCTACCACCATAACAATCATACACACACACACACACACACACACACACACACACACACACACACATTATGCAACAGTGGAATGAGATAGAATAACCAAAAACACACTTCCATTAAGAAAAAAGAATTTGAGAAATACTGCAGTCTTTGGTCCTTAGCAATTCTAAAATCCCTCCAGGCAGATGCTGGAAGGGCCCCTGCTGTAGGAGGGGGAGTGTTGTTTGTGACCCTTGATTACATTCTCCATGAAGTATCCTAGGCCACACCTGAAGATGGAATTGTCACTTCATCAATAGCAGCTCTAATATTCTATCTGATTACAATTTATTTAAAATCTATTGCACAAAAAATGCTTTTCAAACAATAAACCGAAGTATATGTTTATTTTACAAGAATGTGGGAGAAAGAATGACTACCAGGATGTTCACTGAGTATTTCTGTCCTCTTCTCATGTAGACGCTAGGGCCACCCTTTGTTGGAGTTAGGCATGGTCATGTGACTTGCTTTGGCCAATTATATGTGAGTGCAAGTGCCTTATGTCATTTCCTTTAAGAGTCAGCATTGCAAGGAAATTCTTTACATACATGGGGTGTTTACAGTCATGTCAGGAAGTGCTATTAGTCTCAACTTGTAGATAACAAAACTGAGGCTCTGAGAGGTGAAGTAGCTTACCCAAAGTTACCTAGTCAAATCTGCCTGACCCCATGCCTTCAAAGCCTGTTCTTTCACTGTGGTTCACGGCTCCTGTTTCTAATTGATCATTTTGTTGATATAATTATGTGTTGGGAAAAATGCAGGAGCTGATGTGTATTGATACAAACACTATTAACCCTTTACCTTCTGAGACATTTGGCAACCCTGGAATCAAAAAGCCACAGAAACTCTGCATGCCCCTGCTGTATACTTCCTTAAGTAGCCTCCACACAGAACAACAACAACAAAAAGAGTTTAGGCTTTGTAGTCAGAACATTTTGAGTTTGAATCAAACCCAAATCCCAGCCCTGCCACTTACTAACTGTGGATTCAGCAGAATTCCTAACTTCCATGAGCTCCTATTTTCTTATGCATGAGACTACAGTGATACCTAGCTCACAGGGTTGTTATGAGGGTTAGGTGCTGAGCACATAGAGTGTGCTTGGCATGTTTCAGTCAAATTAATGTGCAAATTGAAAAACAACTGCAGGTCCCCTCCGCCACCCCCTCTCTGCTCCTTGTACCTAAACTCAATATGGCTGACAGTGTGCAAGACGTTGGTATCCTCTCCCTTCTCTGATTCCAGCCTCCCCGCGGCTCCTTGTATGCACCACTGACTTCTCTCCCCTTCCCTAGGACTAGCCCTCACACACAGACTTGCCCTCTCAGGTCCATCTATAGGTCAGAGAGGTCATTGAAGCTGGGGACTAGTCAGTCAAGAGACAAGTGTTAGAAGAGAAGGCTTGTGGTGCAGGCAAGAACCTGCTCATGCAGCCTTTTGGGCCTTGGAGAAGATTTGGGTATCTTCCCTGAGAGGAATGACAATCCATTAATACATTTTCAGCATGGGACAGAACCCTTTAAATCTTTAAACTCAGGCTTTATAGGATGAGTAAGAGTGTGCCAGGGAGATAAGGAAGGGAACAGCATGTGCCATGGCAGGGAAGCTCGCCACAGGCATGCTCAGGGTGCCTTGTCACTGGGAGGTACATGCAATGAGTGGAGGAGAGGCTGGGAAAAGGAGGTGAGACCAGACCACAGGATGTCATGCTGCCTTGTTAAGGAGCTTGGATTCCCATAAATTCTTACCTCCTCCTTGGAGCTACATTTTGTCTCGGAAGGACACATTAACACTTCTTTGAACAGGACATGGTGCTGTGAAGTTAATGGCCTACACTGTAGCCCTTATCTCAGCATGTTTCTAAACCTTCCAAAGTCCACTTATACACATATTATATAAGCCCTCTGTGTGGACCTCTAATGGGGCCTGCAATTGTGGGGAGTTTTTCAGGTGCTTTTAAGGTTGGCAAGGGAACTAGCTCCCACCTGTGAAATGTCCAACTGGGGTTTAACAATGGGAATGGAAAATCATTTGATAGCAGCTGCTTGTTGGGTGCTCCTGGGAACTGGCCCCAGACTGTTGCTGGGCAGAACTCTGCAGCCCCAATTAGCCTACTCTGTCCTTTTAGTGAAATCGAAAGCTAGTAATCAGTGGAACTTCATTTTCATTGGCATTTTTTCCAGTAATTAAAAAAAATTGCGACTTCGTTTCCACTTAAGAAATGTTGCCAGTATAGCCTAGGGCATGTCGTGTACCTTAATTGTAGAGAAATTGCTATCAGGAGGGACCTCACATCCC